ACCAGCTGGTGAACCGGGCAAGCCTCTTCATTGCTCTATGTCTCAGTGTTCACATCGCAAGACGGAGATGCCAATGCTACTTATATTAGAGGGTGTGAAGTGGGAGGAACTGATGCAAGTTAAGTCCCAGCACAGAGCCCAGAAATAAGTGTAAGAACCTGGCGCTGTGCCTGGTACAGTGGGCACTCAGCAAACGGCGGTATGGAGGGCAGTCGGGAAAGCCTAACAGAGCCCTGCAAGCCACTTCAGCTGCTGCCGTGAATGCCAACAGCGTCCAGAAATCCACTGACTCCTGCTGGATGGCGCGGGAGGAGGGGCTCGGCTATATATGATCTGACGCTCATTTATGGGCAAGGCAAGGTTCTCGGTCTTTGAAGCATTTGCTCAGCTCCTTCCGGGACCTGGATAGATGACATGGAATGCAGATGAGGCTGAGGACTGCACTGGCACCGTAAATTCTCTGCTGCCTGGGCTCCCTGCCTGGCATTCCTGCACATTTGAGAAAACTGTATAAACAGTACAAGATAAACACCAACTTTTCTTCACACAAGTTAACAAAGCCACCAGGGCAATTTACACCAACACACCAGGTCTTTACATATTCTGAGTGCTGCCCTGGCCGTGAGTCACCTTGAGAAGGCGGACTAAAGATTTAGAATGTTCAAAAACTGTGCACATTAGTCACAAAAGGAAGAAAGAACCGCATACAGACGGCCCAATCACATAGCCCTCACTCAGTAACATGTGGCAGGCCCCACACTGTGCTCCTACTGGGCACCTTGGGGACAGACACAGCAGGTAAGATGACACAGGCCTTGTTAGACCTCAGGCCCCTTTGAGGACTTTCCTGGGGCCGATGGTGGCAGTAGACACGCTTTCCTGAGGGTATGTACTGGTAGGACCACCAGGCATTAGGCTGGCATGCGTGTCACTGCTCCCGGTCCCTCCACTGGCTCCTGTCCTTGTCAGACTTGCATGCATGATGGCATGAAGTGCCAGGGGTCAGTGGGTGGCTCGCCCTGATTCCAGGCAGAGGCAGGACCTAGAAGCTTGCTCTAGGACTCAGCAGAGAGCCTGAAGCCACCAGGGCCTTCACAGGCTGTTCTTTTGCGCCCTCTAGCGGTCTGTGAACGCAGCTGGGGCATCTCAGAGCTGGCAACGCTCAACTGGGGCACAAAGCTCAACCGCTGTCTTTCAAGGACACTGTCCTGTTCTGTTTCTTTAATTAAAATAAATGCTTTATGCCACCATTGTATAAGTGGTCGAACTTTTCTCACAGGAAGGTGGCCTAGAGAGTGGACTTGGTTTTCCTCAAGAGCTCCAGATGAAGTCCAGCCTGATCTCATTTGTGTAAACTCTCACACGTTTAGACACGTAGGGACCACGCTGGTGTCAGCTGTATGGCAGACAGGCTGTGAAGAGACTTTCCTGATATATGGATTCTTTGAAATCTGAACTTACACACACACACACAGACACACACACACACACACAGAGGGATACCTGGGCTGTGACTGGACTTCCCCCACCCCCAAGGAGGAAGATGTGGCTTTGCTAGCCCTGAGTGTGGCTCACAAATCAGGAGGGGCTGGAGCTTGTAAACTGCCTTAAATGGAAGTGCATAGGTCCTTGGCACATTCTTCTAGAATGGTGACATGGGTGTGAAAGGCTGAAATGAAGCAAGAACTCAGCTTCTTTCTCAATTCTGGCAGGACTGAGGAACCAAGGGGCTGGAGAACAGATGTGCTCAGATGTGCTGCATATCCTCCTCCTCCGTGAAGCCACCCAGACCCCCCATCCTTGGCTAAAGATCCCGAGAATTCAGGGCAGGAGCCACTAATCCGCAGCTCACCAGCAACACCCACTGAGTTCAATGTCTGGGTCAGGTCTTCTCTCTCACCCTAATTTCATCCATTTGTTAACTCTGCTAAGGACAGGCACAGTGCTAGGTGCCAGCTAACTGCTGAACTAACACAAAGGAAAAGATCACTTTCATGTACTGGGTGCTTCTGAAGTGTCAAGGATGATACTAAACACTTGCATATGCAATGTCGTAACTTCTTGCCTCTATGTAGGGTCATTTTAGTGATGAGAAGACTGAGGCTCAAAGGTTGAGTAACTGCTCCAAGTTGACAGAGCAAGTTAAGTGGTGGAGCTGGGATTTGAAACAAGACATGTTTGAGTTCACTGTCCATCAAGCTATGCTGTGCATCTGCCCAAGAACAAAGAATTGGAGATAAGCATTGAGTGAAGAATATGTGGGGAAGTATTCAAAGGATTTCAAATGAGAAATGTCAAATGTTTTGTAAAAGCTCTTGGATATAAGGGTTCGTTCTTGGAAAAACTACTTTAAAAAAATCAAACCCAGGGCCGAGCCCGTGGCGCACTTGGGAGAGTGCGGCGCTGGGAGCGCAGCAGCGCTCCCGCCGTGGGTTCGGATCCTATATGGGGATGACCGGTGCGCTCACAGAGCTCACTGGCTGAGCGCGGTGCGGCCGGTCTCAAAAAGGACAAAAAAAAAAAAAAAAAAAAATCAAACCCAACTCTATGACATTCTGGAAAAAGCAAAACTACAGAGATAGTAAAAAGATCAGTGGTTGTCAGGGGTTGGGGGAGGGAGGGATGAATAGGTGGAGCACGGAGGGTTTTTAGGGCAGTGAAAAATACTCTGTATGACACTGTGATGGTGACTATGTGCCATTATACATGTGCAAAGAACACACAACACTAAGAGCGAACCCCAATGTCAACGATGGACTTTGGGTGACAATGATGTGCCAATGCAAGCTCCTCAACTACAACAAATGCACCACTCTGGTGGGTGATGTTGATAATGGGGGAGGCTATGCATGTGTGGAGCAGGGACTATATGGGATATCTCTGTACTTTACTCTCAATTTTGCTGCGAACCTAAAACTGCACTAAAAAAAATAAATCTTAAAAAAAAAAACGTCGGTAGGGTTCAATGGGAGTGAGACAAAGGAGAGATGAACGGATGGAGTACAGGGGACCTTTAGAGCAGTGACACTGTTCTGAATGATGTTGTAATGGTGGACACATCACTATACATTTGTTGAGTAAACTCTGACAAGCAGCCCGTGCTGAGAATCGCAGGTGAGAAAGGGGCTTTACGAAAGCAGCACCTTTCCTAAAAAGTCAGCACTGGGCTTTAGAACTTTGTTTCTCCATGTTTTGTCTAGGACCCTCAGCACTGGTATCACCTGGGAACTTGCTAGAAATGCAGAGTCTTGTACCTAAATACATCATAGTCTGCTTTGTAACAATATCCTAGGTCATATTCATGTTTGAGAAGCACTTATTTAGAATACTTTCAAAACAGCAGGACAGGGAGTGACTAAAATACTGCACATTTCAGCTATGAAATATTATTCATTTAATAAATTGTCTGCAGGGTTATACGGAACATTAAAAAGAAAAAAAATTCAAATAAAACACTCAAACAAGTTACCACAATGGTGACAATGGTTGTTTGAATAGTCAGATTGCAAGTGACTTTCCCTGCTTATTACCACTTGGCTGTATTTTCAAATGCTTCTTAAAGGGCACTCACTTCTTCTATAAGATGAGAAAATAAAAGTATAACAGCTCTAGGTGTGAGGTCAGAAGGAGAAGCCCCAGAGGAAAGCATAAAGGCTCAAGGTCCACACCTAGTCCACTCTCTCACTGCCTTTCCCCCAGTAGCTGGCAAGGTCTGAGCAGTTGGTAAAGGGACAGGGGACAGGGGAGAGCTTCGTGTCCTGCCAAGCCAGGGTAGCACCAAGACTGAAGAAGGAGGGGGTGGAGGGGCTGAAACCCCAAGGTCCTGAAGGACTTTCTTCCCCTCTCCCTTGGGGGACAGTGAAGTTCTAGGGTGGGGGGTTGTTTGAAGCATAAAGTGGTTGTTGGAGGGGAGGAATTCCTGTGAGGAATGAGACTCACCCAAGTGTGTGTGCTGGGGGTCGGGTGTCAGGAGGGCTTGGGGAGAGGCGCCCAATATCCTGAACATAATTTAAAACAGTTTCTCCAACAAGTTCATCTAATCATTTGAAAAAAGAGTTGAGGCTTTGGAGGAAGCTGTCCTGAGGGTAGCACGGCTCTCTTGGCGGAAACTTCTTCCTTAGGTGCTCTTCAGAGAGAACAGGTGCAAAGGAAGGAAGGCAGGAAGGGCAGGGGGAGGAGTCAGGAAGAATCCCTGCTGGAGCTTCCTAAGCCCTGCAGTGATGTCAGCCCAGGGCTTGGCAAAACATGGAGGCGAGACCAGGTGATGTTGGCCCAGCAACTTTGGAGTCCTTCTGTGTGACCAGAGCACCACCAAGACAGTGGACCAAGGGAGGAGGAGGGAGAGAATATCCTACAAGAGGAACTGCCCCTCACTTTCCAGGCTTAACCACAGGGCTCCCTCCCACATCATAAGGCTCCTTGGAAAGCAGGTGGGGATGGTCCCGGGAATTCCAACTACCCTCAGGGACCACTGCTGGCAGGAACTGCATTCACCTCTGTGTCTGTACCAGTTCCTACAGTCCCTGGCACATGGCCGGCCCTCAGGAGGTATCTGCTGAAAAGTTACATTGATGGAGGATGAAGCAGTGGTGTTGGCAGTGCTAGGAGGATGCCTGAGACAACTTAAGACTGCCCAGGGCCCTGTGGGAGGCCCTAGGAGCTCCAGCCTTAAGCTCACACCAGAGGACCACACCCTTACCCCTGCAGCTGCTATGAGCCCTGCAGTGAGGGGTGGACTAGTAGGGGAAATCCAAGGGCCTCTAAATGGTCAGACAAATGCCCCTTGACTGAACAATCAGTGGGAGAGCTTTCAAAAAACAGTGACTCATCCCCGCCCCAGGCCCTAGTAAGCATTCCCCCAAGTCGCAAGGCTGGCCTCACTTCAGCAGCCACCTGCAGGAGGCATTGGGGGGCTTCATCTGTCCAGCACCTGCTTCCTCCGCTCCTGGATGGCACAGACAGCCTGTTCTCACCCCGACCCCCACCCATTTCCTGCCATGGGGGACTGGCTGAAGGATGGGCACCTCTACCCACGCTGGTCTAGTGGGAGATCGGCCTGGATTCCAAACTCTGAGGAAGAAAACGGTTCCCTCTTTCAGTTACTTGTTACCCAGAGGAGCAGGACGGAAAGGTGAGGGCTCACTCTGACCAGACCAAGATATTTCAAGAAAACCAGATGTCTGGATTTTCATATGAAATCTTCTGAGTTTTAAGTATCAGCACCTGGTGTGATATTTCTTTAAAACACTTTGAGGGCCAGACCAAACATGTCTGTGAGCCAGAATTGGCCATGGGCTGCCAGGTGCGACCTTGGCTCTGTGGTAACGCTATCTTCAGCATGGCTATCCAAAGACCCCTCCCGATTTGGTCCCAGTCTGCTTTCCCAGCTGCCTGTCCTCCCCCTCCTTGCTCAACCCTTTATTCCAGCCACCCAACGACAATGGGCCTCTCTGCTTTCTCTAACTGCAGTGGTCTCCAAGGCCCAGGGGATGCCCCATATCCCAGGCACCTCCTCTGCAGGCTCACGGGACCCTGCTGCTCTGTGAACAAAAGCCAGGCTCACCCAGACTGAGCCCAGGGCCTTTGCGTTTGGTGTCTGCTCTGCCTGGACGGCTCTTCAAAGGCCTGCACACCTCACTCCCCACTCCCGTCAAGTCTTTGCTCAAATGTCAGCTTGTCAGAGACGCCTTCCCCAGCCTATCTTTTTAAAAAAGCCCCACCCTCATCCTCAGCACTCCCACCCCCTCTTCCTGACTTATTTTTCTCAATAGCACTTACTATCTAAAACAGGAGACATCCTGCTATGGCCCACATGGCACATCCTGCCCAATGACTGCTTTTATAAATAAAGTTTTATTGGAACACAGCCATGTCCATTCATGTGTGTACTGTCTGTAGCTGCTTTTGTGCTACAACAACAGTTCCAATGGTTGCAGCAGGACCACTGCTCTGCAAAGCCTCAAATATTTAGCATTGATCCTTTTGAGAAAAAGTCTGCTGATCCCTGATTGAAAATACCAGAATGTAGGCTCCATGAAGGCAGGGATTTTGTTAGTTTTGCTCACTGCCATATCCTCAGCACCAAGTAACAGAACCTAGCATTTGAGAGTCTCTCAATAAATATCTGTTGAATGAAGGCACAAATAACTCACCATATTAGACTACTTCATGTCTTCGTGCATGCTGTTCCCACAGTACTTCCTTCTACACATAACCTTCACGGCTTAGCTCAGAAGGTCCCTGAGCATTCTCTGTCCCCTCTACCTCCCTCCGGGAACAACCAGTCCCTTCTTCGTGTGTCTCTTGTCTCAGCACTTTTCACCCAAATGAAATGATCTGTCTACCAGCTCTCCTCTCCTGCCGGACTAAGAGTGGCTTGGAGACTAGGATGTCATTCTATTGAGCCAGAATCATGAATGCCTGGCACAAAATAGGGCTCACAAATGACTGCTGACTGCACATGTGGATGGATGAATAAATGAAAGATCTGATGTTTTGGGTCATATGAGTACATTCTGCTCCCTGGAGATGGTGGAGAAGAGAGACAAGTGGCTCAGAAAATCAACAGAGTCACATCTGCAAAGTTCTCTGAGCTCCTCAGCACTCTAGAAAAAACCAAGATACTTCCCTTACTGGCTATCTGGTGGTCCCCAAGATGCCTCCTACACTAGCTGCCCTGGATCCTACAACATCTTCCACACTGGCTGCCCTGTGTTAACTCCCTGCCAATCCATACCTCATACTCGATGGCGAGGTCTGTGTGGTCGTCAATATCCACCTTGGCCATCACCACCTTCCCGTGCTGTTTGGCCACCATCTTCTCCAACCTTGGCCCCAGGATCTTGCAGGGGCCACACCACCTGGGAAGGTGAGAAAGCAAGCATGCAGTCAGTCCAAGAGTGCTCACCATTCCATTACTGTCTCCCCAGAACCTCCCCCAGACCCACACCTTTCTGAGGAACCTTTTGTCCTTACTACCTGTTTACAGTGTTTGAATATTAACCTGTAATGCTGACAAACCAATCGGTAATGTTGGGATACGCTACAACTGGGAAATTTTCACGTGTCCCGGACTTCTAAAACACAGGCCTCATCGAAAGACTCTTGTATGGTGATCTCATTTATTTCAATATATCTCAGAGAAATATACTGTCATATAGAGGAATATGGGATTTTAAGTTAAAAGGTTTAGATTCAAAGACAGGCTCCTCACCAATCAGCTGATTGTTCTGGGGCCTCAGTTTTCTCATTTGAAAAAGAGAGACTATGCCTCTCAAAAGTGTTATGAGAAATCAACTAAGACAATTTGGGTAAACATGCTTTGGAAGCTGTAGAGTTATTTCAAATGCCATGTGGACTCAGAACTAAAAGGAGGGGAAACTAATGGCTAGGAGCATCTACAACGTGCCAGTCACTGAGCTAGCACCTTCTCAGCTATTACTGCACAGAGCCTTTAACTCTGAAAAAGAAGAGAAAGCATCTTCCAAAGAAACTGAGGCCCATATGAGTTAAGAAACTTGTGCACAATTACAAAGCTAGTAAGAAGCACAGCGGGGACTGCAACCTCTGTTCCAAGTGTCTTCTTTCACCCACAGGTTATGCTGTGATCCCACAGACCCTGTATCAACTGCTCACTGCCCTGATCACACTGCACTGACCATAGGTGTTCTCATCTCGGTGGGGAGCTCTTCTAGGACAGGAGTTACGCCGTCATCTCTATGTATGTGACACCAAGGAAAGTGCCTGGCACTGAATGAACAAACTCACACCCTGCTTCCTTGCTGAAGAAAATGAGGCATTACCTCATTTATCATTCATTTCGGAGGCCCTTACTGAAGTGTTCACCACACCAGGAGGGCAGACCAGCTCTGCTTTCCACAAACCCCTGGCTGACGACTCCTATTTTATTCTCAGCCTTTAAATCTCCTTCCATTCAGAGATTTCAGTCAACAACTCACACCGCCTAAAAACCCAGTTTGCAAAACCTTATCTCCTATTATAAGTAAAGAAGGGAGCACAAGGATATCAAATGGCCTGCACAAGGCTACATGATAAGCCAGAGAAAGAACTAGAAAGAAAGCAAAAAAATCTGTCAGACACTTGCCCAGAAGCCCTTCCAATTTCTAACTCGGGTGACACTGGCTTCTCCCAGGATGCCTAATTCTGAAGTGTTTGTCCAGCTTTTTTGTAGCTAGGCATCTAGCCAGGCCCCAAAGGTCTGGAAACAAAGAAGGCCAGGCTAAAAATCAGAAGGTCACAGGCATTTTGCTATCTCTAAAACAAACTCATATAGCACTGAAAGGAAACTCTTGCCCATCCCCTGCATGCCTGGGCACCACTGTGGTGGCACTGATAACTTTTTGCCAGCCCTTCCCACAGCTCTGTCGGCGAGATGTTAAAATAAAATCAACTTTGCAGGGTTAGTAAATGGTATACACAGAAAGCCAGACGATGCTATAGTCATAACTTTCTGACTTTTTTTTAAGCGAAAGATGACTTTGAGCTTTTCAGACAGTGAGATTCAGAATATAAGCATTTCCCAGCACTAATCATGATCAGCTTTGAAGACTGTTTACTAGTCTGTCTCCTACCAGACCGCCCTCTCCTTGAGAGCAGGAACTGAGTCTTACTAGTCTTTGTAATGTGTCTGTGTATGAAAGGCATCAAACATGGTACTGGGACTTAGCAGGCACTCAATACATACTTGAACCTAGAAGAGCCTAGTCTTCTTCTGATCCCCAATACTCACTGTGCGTGGAAATCCACAACCACTGGCGTCTCACTGTTGACAACTCGGTCTTGAAAGTCAGGTCCATCTTGAACGTTAAAGGTTGTTGTACAGACTCTGGTGGTGTATATTGTCCGGGCTGGGCTGGGTATTACTGTCAGGCTATTGGGACTGCACTGTGGGGTCTGCAGAACCCTGGAGGTGAGGGGTATCCACTGACCCTGAGGGGGCTCCCTGGAGATGACAGAGGCCAGGAACCTCCTCAGCAGAAGTCGCTGAGCCATCTGCGAGGGAAAGAGACAAGAAGAGTTGAGACACAAAAAAGGAAGTCAGTGCACCAGAAAAAAAAAAAAAAAAGAATTTGGGAAAACTGAGGGACTCAAGAAGATGCAGAGCTGGAAGCAATGTGCAAGGAAAGAATATATAACATTACTGGAGTAGAGGTGAGCGAGGAATGAGAATCAAAGGGAAGAAGGAATGGCTACGCAAACCAGGATAGGAAAGTTGGGTTGACAACCAAAAAGTAACCAGGATTTGGGTGGAGAGATGGAAGGGAGAAATCAGTATTTACAGAGCACCTGGCTGAGGGCCAAGTGCCTTACATAGATTATTGGTCCTCCCAGATCAACTCTGAGGAAGCTGCCATAGTACTGCCCGTGTTACAGATAAGGAACCTGAGGCTCAGGTAGGTTAAGCGGCATGCCCAAAGTAACCCAACTATGAAATGACGGTCAACACTGGCACCCACAGCCGTCTACAAAACCTTCCTCCATCGATTGCTCTGTTATAAAAAATGTTTTAATGGGAAATTCTGGAGGAAAAAAGGGGGCTGTCGAAGGATCAGGAAAGGGGAATCACAACAATTCAAGAAGGAACTAAG